AAGACAGACAGAAAAACAAATGACTACAGAAGAAAGGACAAGGATGTGACATGGTTGATTCTGAAGATGAAGGAAAAGGGCCATTGGCCAAGGAAAGGCAACACACCCTAGAGACTTCAGAAGAAACACAATCCACTCAATGTGTTGAATTTAGCCTAGTGAGACTTAGTGGAACTTTTGATCTTCAAAACTGTAAGCTACTAAGTTTGCATTGCTTTAAGCCATGTAATTTGTTGTTATTTGTTACAACTGTTATAGGAAGCCAATATACTACCACCTTCATCAGTTTTAACACGCCAAAATGTCTACAGACAATTCCTGATGCCTGCTGAGGAAAACCTTCAGGTTCAGAGTCACTGCTCTGTGTAAGTGTCCAAACTCCTGAGAGAGGTGCAGTGGTATTCTTCAAAATACCTGGTAAACATGATCATCCAGCTAACAGGGAGATAGGCCCAATGCTGCAAGCATATCAAATTTTTCACTTCAGAAACACTTTACATCCTTTCACCTCTCTGTTCACGCCATGCCAATGGGCTCTTTGAAGGGTAAAGAATGTATTTTGGCTCTTCTGTCATTTCTATTCATATCTATAATAATCCCCTTCCTCAATTTGCTATAATTCTAGTTTCATCAGGTTACTACATTGACAGCCTTATGATTGCTGCATATATTAGACAGCAGGGGTCTTAACATCCCCTTCCAAGTGCATTACTGCTCTGAAGCATCTGTAATTATTCTTTACCTGAAACTCTCGCATTACCAAAATCTCTGTGCATTTGAGTATTATTTTCTCTCTCATCAAGAGATGACCTTTCTGTTTTCTTCTCCTATATTGCAAATATATTTGAAAATTAAGTTCAAGTATTCTCTACACAATGAAGACTTTCATGACCTCCCTCCCTAAAAACAAGGAGTTACCATTCTTCCCACTTTAATCTCCTATGGTGCTGATCTTTCTGCATTGTGCCTATTGGTTGGCTAATCCATCCCCTCATTAGATTATTAGACTGGGAGTTCTTTAACAGTTGAGGGCATATTAGAGTCTCTCTGCATTCCCAAAGAATGAAATGCCTCTGCTCAAGAAATTCCTGTGAGCAAAAAATAGTAGCACATACTTGTAATCTCAGCTACTCTGGAACCTGAGGCAAGAGTATTACAAGTTTGAAGTTAGCTTGGGCAATTAAGTGAGACCATATCTCAAAATATAAAAAGTAAAAGGGGCTGAGGATCTGACTCAAGGTTCCCTTAGTTCAATCCATAGTACATAAAAAATGTCTGTAACATGCATGAAGAAATGTATAGGGGTCATGGATAGATGCATATCAATCACGTATCAATCAGAAACTGATCAACTATGGGCATAATCTCAGCTCTGATCCACAAGAATTAGGAGGACTAAGGGCCCAGGAGATAGCTCAGCAGCATAAACATCTGCTTAGCAAGCGCAGCATTCCAAGTTTAATCCTAGGTCTCAGGGGAAAAAAAAGAGAGAGTGAATTAGGAGGACTGCGGGATTGAAACAAGTGATCATATCCCTTTATCTCTAAGCAGAGGTAGGGCAGAGCTCAGCTATTGAGAACACAATGTGAGGAACATGACCAATTCTCACTATGTACCATGTAGCCCTTTGTCTATTTCCCTTTCCTATCCTCAGATATTCTATCCAGCATGTCCATAAAACCGATGTTGCTAAAACACATAATGTGGAAATATTAACAGAGTCTTACCTGAGTTTGCCTAACACCTTCCAGGTTTAGGCCATAAAACAACCATTTACAAGCACTGAATGAGCATAAGGAATAGAGCTGCAGGCATTTATGAGAGTCCTGGGACCTGCTGTATCAACAGTTTAGGTATAAACAAGAAGATCTGTTGAAATTCATCAAATGGAAATAGACGTGATCCATCACTGGCTAAGCCTGAAAGTGAACTCTCAGATTTTCTTATGGATTAGGGAAGAGAAATAAGAAATTCGTGTAAACTATACAACTACAGGAAGTCTTCAGCTTGACTTAGACGGATGTACATGGTTTTGGAATCAGAAGAGAAGGTCCCTGGGAAACTTCTGGACCAGCTGAGAGCCCTTTGGTTGGCTCTCACAGAATGGGGCACTATAGTCAACTTCGCCAATATAGCTGCTTTCACTTGTGATTTTCACCCCCAGAGGATATTTGGCACTTTCTAGAAACACTTTTTTGTAATACTGGTAGAAAGGACTGCTACTGGCATCTAGTGGGTAGAAACCATGGGTGCTACTCAACCACCACTATGCAGGCTGCCCAAAGCAAATAACATTTCATCTGCAGGTGTCAATCGTATCAAGTCTGAAGTTCCCTAAGCCAGTGAAGCCAGGAAAAGCACAAGGATCAAATCTGTAAGAGCCCGGTCTCCCTTCCACTGCCTCTAAGCAACAGTGCAAGGTGCTGCTTTGCTGAACTGCTGACAAACATTAACAAATATTTTCTTTTAGGATGAAGAATGCAACTTGCTTGCAAGTGAGAAGGATAAATAGTGCCCAGCAAGATGAGTCTTCTTGGATTTTGAGAGTTACAAAGTGTTAAACTTTTCAAAAGCAATCCAAGTCATTAAATCCCAGCCCTAGGATTTGGTTAGGTTATTCTGGCCTCTACTAAACAAAATCAATGTCGGACCTGCATGTCGGGATTCCATCAAATCACTTTGCATCCGCCTCTAGCACTAAGAGATTCCAGCCACCTTATCCCTATACAGACATAAAACATTTATGAAAAACTCTGTTTTTGCTAGATGGTTACGTACTCAATTTTTTTAAAAGTTAAAATGTTACATTTATTTTAACACATCTAAACTAAGGGAAAGGTGAAACAATGCAGCATAATACACAGAGTGTACCAAAGATGCAGCCTTTCTAAAAATCATGCTGCAGAAAAGATAAAGAATGACACAATATGGTACAAGCCTGGCTTAATCAAGAAACTTTCATAATTACTTGATTCTTTTGGTACCAGAAATTGAACTCAGGACCTCACACTTACCAGGTAGGAACTTGTGCTACTTGCTATATCCTGGCTTAATTAATTGATTTTTGACCCTATGTAATTATAATAATCTCCAAAGGATTTGGAAATCATTAAATGTTTATATTTGCAGTCTTCCTAAGTAGATATAGATTTGTTTGTAATAAAGCTAATTTTAAGAGCATATCAAAGTTGAACATAGCAATGACACTAAACCCAGCAGTCCAGAGTAAAAGATCCTGAGTAAATGCACTTAGTTGTATTACTGTGGTTAGTTCAGATGCCTGTTCATTGGTTGAAAGATTTTTTTTTTCCGGAATCAGGGATTGAACTCAGGCCCTTGCGCTTGCCAAGGAAGCGCTTATTCCACTGAGCCATCTCCCCAGCCCAGATTGCAAGATTTTGATGGATAAAAAATTAATTTTCAACAAGTGTGACAATCTACAGTCAAATACTTTTTGGTCATAACAGAAATGAACAGAGTCTGTAGAGTATACTCTAAGCATAGTATTGCACTTGCTAAGGACAGCAAGAATGTTCTTCGTAACAGAATTGATTTCAAACATGAATGTCGGTGGCTATTCAAGAAGCTGGCTTACTGTTTCATTTATCTCAATTCCTTGAGATTAATCTGATAATGTGTGGTCCTGAGACAGAAGCAGGAATCCAGCTTCTCGTAAAACATGAGAGTTCAACGTTTTTACTTTTGATAAAAATAGCTATGTGCTTCAAATTAAGTCCTCTAGTTTGAAGTTAACATCTGCTTTTGCCTGACTTTTCTTGCTGCTGCCTAACTTCCTCAAGAAAATGGGCAGCAGCACAATTAGTCAGATTTATTAGGATTTTATTTTTTTTGCAACCCAGACTCCTACAGCAGTCACTTTGACACAGTAACTAATGTGAATAATATGTGATGGTAGTATTTCTGGTAGATAATGCTGATTTTTCCAATAAAACAGAAATCTAAGTTATCTCATGTTTGCAAAGCTGAGTATGATCTTGAATATTATTTCCAAACTGTTTTTGCTTGGTTGTGTTTCCTTTATTTAGTCTAAATCTCCAGCAATTACACAGTATTCCATTTCATTTCTGTAATGCTAACTGTGCTTTAAAATATTTAATTACAACCGACGGGATCTCCCTTTCCTTATGGAAACAGATCCAAAGCAAATCTATAGAGTTTGTGGACTCAAAGGGATAGGAGTCGTTTTTACACCAACTACTATTTATTCTCTAAAAGCATGCTGCTTTCCAAGTACCCATCAACCACAGTCTCCCGATAGCTCTATTCTCCATTCTTAACCAGAGCGCAAACATTTTAAGAGTATCAAATAGCTGCCTCTGAGTTCCCTATTTACTGTTGATTCCTGATTCATGTCTATTTCACTAACTACTAATTGTCCTTAGTGGAATTTGGGCTTATTTCCATGATACTTCATATTCCTAGGCAAAAAAGTATCAGTACCATGGATTTCTGAAATTACACCTTTAGAGAAAAACAAATACAAACTAAAGAATTCTAGTAGTCCACAAAGACTCCACTCTGCCTCCCAGATGCATGTGAGCTCACACATGCACTCAACAACATCCTTCAGAAAAATATTCCTGCATTCTGTGTAGAACAATGGTATATATAATCTGATCATTATAAACAGCTTATTAATAAATAATTTAAGTTTCAGAAACTATCAACATTGGGTGAAGGAATCAGATGACCCTTTGAAATTGCCTACAGCACAAACAGGAAAGCAGAACACCATCTCTTCCAACAGCTTCCTTGACTGCTCCAAAGTGGAGCCAACCAGTCCTGAAGGACACTCAAGCATCTACTAGGGTTGTCCCATTTCCTGACAGCCTTTGACCAGCCTGACTCTAACAGCTACACCATGAAATCCCCTCAGAGGTTTCTTGATATTATAAATATTTAAAAAATTAAAGATAACTCCTAGAACTGCATGGAGTTTCCAGTTTTAGGCCATGAGACTGTATTGCACTGGTCCCTACCTCGGACTTCCACACGATGTAGGGGTGGCCACGACTGTTGGATGGGGGCTGAAACTTCCTCTGCTGGAGCCACCTCCTGGGAGAAGCAAAGATGCCATTGGGGCCTCCTCCGGAGGAACAGAGGATGCTCGCAGTGCTGCGGCCACTGCCTGGCCCAGCCAGGACCGAAGGCAGGTCCCAAGCCATGCTCTTCTTAAGACTACTTCGACCCAAGGGGACCTCGTAGTCAAAGTGGAAGCTGCCAGAAGGTGACTTCTCCTGCGGGGTGCTGGGTGTGGAGAAGGACGAGCAAAGAGGTCGGGGTGTTGGGAGCCGGTTGGCCCGAGAGGTCGGGCTCCGGGGAGAAGTCGCCGAGTGGGTGCCAAGCCCTTCAGCTAGAGTGTGCGGGGAGTAGAGGCGGCCGGCTGTGGCCCCCGGAGCACAGTCTGCTCCCGGCTCGCTCCCGCAGCCTCTGATCAGGGCTGGGTCCAAGCTGCGGGTCTGGCGCAGCTTCCTTTTGGAGAAGCCCTTGGCTGAGGCCGCGCCGCCAGATGCGGGCGAGGAGCAAGAGAAGACGCTGTGGAGCAGACTCTGCGCGGACATCTCGGAGACTCTGTGCCTGGGGGCTACCTTCTTCTCTCTGCCTCCTGGAATCCGGGAGGCTTCGGGCTGGGAAAGGAAGGCTTCTTGAGAAAAGCTTCCAGGCAGGGCACCCTGAGGGCGGTGCAGGGCTCACGCGCCGCCAGCGCGCTCCAAGTGCCCCTGAGGGGGCAGCAGCAAGAGATCCATCACCAGCCTTCTAGGAAAAAGGGCTCCGACCGCTAGAACCTTCCTTGTAGCCCAACTAGAAAACTGCGTAAGAAAGAGTTAGGAGCGAGGTCAGGCGCTCTCTCTCGGTTCCCAGCTCCAACCAGTCCGCGCCACTCCCCCTTCCTAGCTTAGGCGGGAGACGCTGCTCTGGGGCACGCTGGCTCTGAACAACCTCGAAGTCTCCAGCAAGCTCCTCCTCATGGCCTGAGGACCGTCCAGAGGGCTGGGAAGGAGGCTGCCTGGGTGCGCGCCCAGTGAACGTCCGGCGCGCTCCCCAGCTCGGTGAGAACTTCACCCGCACCGGAGCTCAACTTCACAGCTGCGTCCTCGGTGCACCTTCCCTGCGCCCGGTCTCCCGAGCCTTTGCTGTGGGGCTCCGCTGGGCTGCTGCGCCCACTCTTCTGACTGGCAAAACCCAAGAGTGCGACCAAGTTCAAGGCTCCTGCCGGAACTCCTGGGACACCTCGCCAGGGCTAAGGGACTAAGACGCTACAGATTTGCTGATCGCGCTCAGCGCTCCTCGGAAAGGAGACCGCCTCAGGACCGGGGGCCCATGTTCCGCAGTAGAATGACACTTGATATTCGCAGCCAGCTTTGGGCCTAGGACAGGCGCAGAGGTGTCCCCATACGCTCGAGCTAAAGGCAGCGGGTAGGGAGTGGCCGGGATGGGTAGGGCCAGAGGAACTGAGGATCTGGAGCAGGGGCGGAGCCTGGAGTAGGAGAAAGCAGGACGTAAAGTTTTTTCCAGGCGCCAAACCTGGGAGCAGCGCAGAGAGCGGGCAGCTAGCCTGTCTCCAGAAGAGAAAGTCGGAAGGACGAAAGCGCAAACCTTTTCCTCAATCTCCCCTCCCCCAGACGGAGGGCGCTCCAGCTCCACTCACGTTTCTGGAAAGAAGCGGAAGTGTCAGATTGCACCCCACCCACTGGCGTCGGGTGGGCAGCCTGGGACATTTGTAGTGAAGCTGGACTTAAATCACCACCACCACCACCGTGTTTGTTTTTTAAAAGGAAGGACAGAAGTACAGTGGATTGGTGCAATTGCCCATTAACCAGTTGGAGGTTAGGGATTCAACTAAGAAAAGTGGAGGGGTTGGTGGAGTCCTCTCAGTGTAAAGGTTATGAGATTAACAGTATTTCTGGAGGAGGGTCAGAGGAAAAGCCTCGGAGATAGGCACTGACAAAGGATCTGTCTCCGGTTCTGCACCCGGAGTCTCGGAGTGCAACCCGGGCCACGATGCTGGGCAGCCAGCTGGGAAATGTGGGCAATGTCAATATCCCGAGCTCCCAGATGAGTCTAGAAGGAGCTTCTCTGGCTTGACCCTCAAGACCAATAAAGCACAAAGCGTCAGCCACCTCTTCTGAGGCCTTTTGCTGGAATGCTTAGATTTTGCAAGGTGTCTTAACAACTGTCTCGGTAGGGAGCAGACAGAATGTTGGAAATGCAAAAGCGTGTGTACCCTTTGTGTTTGTGTGTTCCCTTTTACCACTTCGGAATGAAAACAATGTTATATAAGTGGAAAGATCACTTTATTAATTTTATTTAAACATTTACAATGAAATTATAAACACAGTGTTCGACAAAATAAAACTAGCTGCCTTAATAAATTTGATTTAGAATTTGTCCCTATGTTATTACCTATATTACTATCAGGGGATAAGTAGCTTAGTGTGACCTTTATAAAAAGCCATTAAATGTGCAAATATCTAGATGGAGATAGGGGAAGAAATCTAGCAGAAAATTATTTCTATGAAGGGCTGTGATACATGGATCTTCGCTGTAGGCTGTACTCCTACCTGCAACTTCAGGGGAGGGAGACAGTGCACCTGAGGTCTTTCCTACGCCTTTGAGGACCTGCATGCAGCTTGAAGACAGAGCAAGACTCCAATTTTCCATTGCACTTAAGAATATCCATTGCTTCACACCCTGAAAACATAAATATTGTTAGTAGCTGTCAATCAGTGTACAGCTGACAGACAGCATTTAAGATCCCTTGCTCACCTGCCTGACTACACACCTTCAAATTTCTTTTGGGGGATGTTGGTGTTTGCTTTCTTCCCTCCTTACACAGGTCATCTTGAAAGTAAGTGTGTGGGTTTTGCCTGACTTCTCTTGGGTAACAAACAATACCTTGTAACTTGTCACTAACAATGAAAACACCTAGTAGTAGTGTGTACTAGTGGAACGCCAGCGCATGGTTATGCTTTATTGGATTTTGGCATTTGAGATAGATTATTAGCAGAGGCACACTTCACAGGGCAACTTATAACTCAAGGGAGTGGAGTAAATGTAATTTATAATTCATATGAGTCCTACACCTCTAAGTCCATATGATGAATATAGAGTTGAAAGCACAGCCTGCTGCAATTGTGTAATATGAATTTCCTGACACAGAGGCAAGCATTTATGGTCATGGGTGGAGAGGCAGTGAGCAGAACTCTTCTATTGGAACTCCAGGGCTTGCAGCACGTGCATACCAGTTAATTCATCAGCTTGTTTCCCATGAGTGTTGACCTTCTACTAGCCTGAAACTTGCTTCATGGTTGGAAATAATGAATAAATGATTTTAAATACATTTGTGTGAGCCTTAACTATGGACGTGGCTTAAGAAGCACACTATAAGCAATTCTATTGTGTGAACCTCATGGGCTATATTTCAACAAACCTAGTTGTTACCTACTATCGCTCAACCTGGGTTCTTGATGCAATCCAGAGATTCAATACATGAGATGTATGAGGCTGTCACAAGCTTGACATAGCATACTGTTTTACAGTAAATATTTTCTAAAAGTGTGAATATACTCTACAATAACAATAAATAGTATAGTACAGAATTCATATTCCAACCATGTAGTCATTATTATAATTATCAGGTATTACATACTCTACATAATTGTGTGTGTTCTGCTTTTATACTATAAATAGCACAGGCTTATTTGCACCCACATGCCCACAAACACAGGAGTAATGGATTGGACTATTACATCACTAGGCAACAGGAATTTTTCAGCACTGTTATCATCTTATGGAATCATGGTATATGTGGTCTATCTTAAATGTCCTTTTAAGGTAAATGATTGCATTCATTTAATTAAGCTGGAGCTCCTCTTAAGAACTCAGTTGATATAAGTATGTGTGCATTTGGGTAGAAACATGATGGGTCTTCTGGAAAAAAAGATTTTCTAAGAAATTACTTGGATTTGCTTTTTGATATTTTAAAAGCTATTTTGATTTTCAACCTGACTCATATTAGATTTATATTGCAAGCATGAGTTACGGTATATTCATTCATTCCCAATTAGGGCATCCTATTTTATTCTTGTTTGCTACATAATCCCTTCCACTTTGTTCTTTCTGATTGACTGTCAGGTTATACCAAATCCATTGAAGGAAGTTCTATGGGTTTCATTAACCAGTTTCAAGACCAAGTAATTCTGTGACTTTGATCACCAGAATTTTGTTTATAATCATCAACTAGCTTCAAAGGAATTTACCTTCTAGTCTAAAAAATAGTTGGTTTTATTTTTTTGCAGTATTTCAGATTATTTTTATTTTATTTCTTTTATTTTTTATTAGTTTATTTCTTTATTTATTTTTCCCATAATTTTAATGAGAAACAAATAGCAATGAG